TATATATATATATACGTAAATAAAAATATTTCTATTTAACAGCTTCAAAATTAACTACATTTTACATTACGTTTATTTTTGCACATGTTAAAAGTACACTTCTTTGTCCGCTCTTCTTCCTTCTTCGTCTCGCTTTTCTTAAAGCTTCAAAGCTCTTTCGCCTTGTTTAGCTAAATTTATTCGGGGCTAACGTGACACATAGATGCTACGCATCGGCCGGGGATCGTGGCGAAACATGTACGCGGTTCCTTCTTTTCATACCCGACAAATATTTAAAATCTATTTACAGCGAATATTTAAGGTCAATATTTTTTCGAAAACAAAGCCTCGTATGAAAAATTTCATTGTATATTTATGACTTATTTTTTCATATACAATAGAATCACTCTCACTTCAGTTTTACCATCAGTTACGAAACTGATATTATATAAAATTGATTAGATTGCAATCTATTAATAAATTTATCCAATTTTACGTTATTACACGTTTAACTCTGAATTACAGTTATTAGACTTTCATTGTATAAGACGGTGCTTTGAAAGATATAACAATCATTCTTTATAACAATCATTTCACCCTCTGCAAGTTCCAAGTTAAACCAGTTCCAGGTTAAAAAACAAAGAATGTATCTTATAGAATACGCTTCCAGGTTCAAATTTAATTTACTTGTTTTTATAATATATAATATAGATATTGTATAATTTATTAAAGATCTGCGGAGTGTAAAATTAATTGTTTATTTTATTTATTTATAGTTAATTACTTTATTTTATTTCGTTTCGTTATCTAAAGAGCAAACAGCAAATATGTTATCATCGATACGTTTAAACCTATTTGCATATCTAAAGGAATTTATGCTCGTCTACAAGTTTGAACATTGAAAGAGAGATATAAATGTCCTTTCAGCAAATATGATCGCCCTCTCGATCCTGGTTGGCAAGGGAAGAGAGAAGAAGAGAGGGATACAGATCTATTTTCGGTCACGCATTTTCCTTTTCTCTTTACAACGCTGGCGTTCTCTCGCGATAATGCTAAAAGCTGCAAATCGTACAATCGGTCTGACATGCGCGTTTATTTTACGTTTCTTCATAATTCTTGTCAAGAGCGAGGTCGGACCACCCATTTTGAAGAATCCTGTCGCAGATATGTAAACCATGCACGCTAAGACCATTAAACGAGTTACGTAACATTACATTTTCACACCTTCCCCCCGTCTATATAATCTTTTTAAATAAATGTTTACGAGTAAAAAAATCTAATTTACTGCCAATTTTAGCTGTGCGCTTAGCGACTTTTCCGATTTATATTATACATTATAGATACTTATACATAAATTATTAAAGCTATTTATTTAAAAGCTTAGCGTTTTAAGAGTTTTGACAAAATTTTACTTCACAGAAAGATTTTACCGAACTGTACCTTTTACCAGATTTTATACAGAATTCACGAAATTTCCGCAAATATCTGTGTATTACAGGATTATTATTGTACATGCTCTTAAGATTTTACATCGTCATCTTGCGTATTTGTCTCCAAGCCAAAATAATGAGTCGTTTTTGCGTTTCTTAGAAACAATGTGGCTCGTTGGATCAAAGCATACGTTTTGGGAAACCTATTAAGTTCCGACTCGCACGTCTTAAGCACGTACTTTCATTAACAATCATCCGAACCTTTCGTAAATTGCAATTTAGCTCAAATTTTCTGAACACTCGCCAAGACGTCGTAAGAGGGTAACGCGCGACGAGCGTACGTATCTATATTCGATCGTGTACTACGGCAAGCACGACCCGAGGCCCCTGGCGATAAGCCAGAAAGCTTTATATACCGTGAGAAAGGGTTTACTCCCACATTGTGGTCTCGATAAGTGCATTGACATCGCTTCGGAAATTCTAGTGTGAGATAAGGTTGCCTCGATTCAATTAGCTCAGATTATCGCTCCGAGCGTAACTATACTTACACCTCTGCCATTCATCTCTCTAAGATACTATCTATTGTATTTTAGTATTCTAAGATACTATCGAATAAAAATATTATAGGAAATATTAATAAAACATCACCATAGATTGTGTGATAAGACTTGATAATGAATTCGAATTGTTTTGATGGGATGGATTTGAATTTTCGAATAGTCCGTATATGTTGTGTAATTTGTGTTAAATGTTATCATTAAAAATGGTAATTATTAATTAATATAATTTACTAAAATTATGAAAATAAGAGCGATGTCAAACTGTTAAAAAGATTCCAGTGAAATAATTCCAGCGAATTAGAAAGTTAACTTTTATAGGATGGCCACTATAGCGCCGCTGAAACTATCATATTTTGAGGCAAGGAGTGCAACAACGTAATGTATAAGAAATCTTACTCAAGGTAAATTGTAAGATTTGAAAAATATCCTCTCCCCCCCCCCCCCTCCCGCTCACTAAAGGTTAATTAACCGCAGATTAAATTTTGCCGTTAATTCATTACAGTGCGGTTTCATTATGAGTAATAGCCAGTGTGCAACTTAATTCGTAGAATATCGAATATACCTAAGCGTGATAAACAGCGACGATATGAAATAATTAAGCTCGCGAGATACTTTCCGCCTCTCGAAAGGAGGTGCGGCTAGCAGTTTTTAAAAGTTCGTAAAATAGATTTTCGTACGTGTATGAGTGTTCCATGTATTGTTTTAATCAACAGTTATTGGGCAAGGTATAATAATGATAACTCTTTTCGCGTGTTACCGTAACTAGTGTGCTAGTGCGTACATAAGTAGGTCCGCCTCCCACGGAACTCTTTGTAATATATCAGCGATTGGCTGATTCGTCGGTATTTATTCACTCGGCACTTTGCTCGCAGGCGATCCTCTTCTATACCCCGCGCTGGCTCTGGAAGGGCTGGGAGGGTGGCAAGATTCATGCCCTTATGATGGATCTCGACATCGGGCTCTGCTCCGAAGTGGAGAAAAAGCAAAAGAAGAAAATGCTGCTCGACTACCTCTGGGAGAACCTTCGCTTTCACAATTGGTGGGCTTACAGGTACTACCTATGCGAGGTCCTCGCGCTCCTAAATGTGATCGGTGAGTAGCCCACACTTCTCTTTTTTTCGGTCCGCGCCGAGGTCCTTCGTCAATGTTTGAGCGTCTCGATCAACGCACGTCCTCATCGCGATGTCGTAATACGGACAAGTCGGAAGTTCGCAGACCCGTTAAGCGAACGTCACCGCGTATCTTCCGTTTACGATCGATAAACATAAACCAGTTATGCGCTTGAGAATGATATTTAAAGCGTTTCCCTTTCGCTGCTGAAGATGCATACGTTTGCATAGCTGAGATTAAGAAGTAGAATTTAAAAAAACCCATCGACAGAAAGAGAGAGAGAGAGAGAGAGAGAGAGCTTTTTACTGATACTTTATGTTGAACACTATGTTTAAAAAATATATTAAGATAAAATAAAATAAATAATATTTGTTGACTCCAAGAATAAATCCAATACAAGTAAAATACCTATGTGAGCTTTCGTGGTTGTTGATACATAAATTATGTATTCATAATAGGATAAGATACAATTCGTAACTAACTGGGATGTTACTTACTTACTAAACGAAGTTAAGGTAAATGCAAACGTTCCAACTCTAGATTTGAGTCCTCTTCAGCGCGGAAGTTAAGTACAAACAGTTTGTACGTGGCGATAACAAATTAAATATTTGTTGAATTGTTCTCAGCTATTAATATTCAAACTATATTACGCAAAACTTTCTAAGCATCAAGGAATATTCATGTTTATGTCAATCTTGATTTCTATGTCTTTTATACTTAAATCTCAAAATTCGTGCAAGCCGTTATATATGTTTAAATTTCAACGGGACACAAAAATAATATTTTTCAAATACCGCGGAGGTTTACATACAGGTATTTTACTTGTAAAATATATATTCTATACATTTCTATCTGGTTCCATCTTTCGTCAAGAAGAAATAGATAAAGATATCGCGATAAGAAATAAAATACTTGCCGAATTGTTCTTAATTATTGTTATTTAAGCTATATAAACTGTTAAAGCATTAAAAAATATTCATATTTATGTCAAAATTTCTTTGTACTTGAATCTCGAATACGCACAAGCAGTTATGTGCATCTGAATATTTAAATACAATGTAAAAATTAAATTTCTATGGACGCAAAGTATTTTAACATAAAAAATTAAATTTTAATAAATATTTGTTTAAATAGAGTTCTAAGCAAATATTTACTCATGTATACGTTTACTAAATCTATATTAATACAAAAACCATTAATTTGATTTAGTTATTTTTTTGTTATTGAGTATAAATAATTATTATGCTAAATAAATTACTTAAAATCGTTCGAAAAAATATGTATTAAGGTTTATTAATTGTTTTTGTGTGTATGTTACAAATTTTCAAGACGCGTTGCAATAATGTAATCGTTTTCACAGAAAGGTCATGTCAAAGACGATGGAATTCAACAAACTATCTCTAGACTAACTTGCGTTAATTTTACAAACGTATATGCGTGTAAGAAAAAGGAAGGCTGTATAATGAGCGGTGAATGAATGAATGATTCACAGTAAAAGTTGGCAGCGATACAGCTGGCCAACCGCTTGCAAACTCCCCGATTTTACTTTGAGATAGCTCATCAATTTTATCTTTTATGTCTATTGCATTCAAATTACAGTGTGATAGGACTATCATCATAAACGTATGCGGAAATATAATCTTCCACACGTAGGTATGGTACATGAATCAATCAACTACGAAAGCTATAAAAATATGTGTACCGTATAATTGTTTGATTAAACACGAAGTTATTATTCAATATTTCATTTGGATACAAAATTGTTCTAAAATATTACAAATATTATAAATATTATTCTCATGGCTAAGATTGGTACAAATTTATTTGTTACAAGATGTAATATATATTTAATAATGTTAAAGTAATTTTTTATAATTAAAAAAAAATAATGTTACAGAGATATTAAAGAAGTAATAGAGATTAATTGTGATTTTTATTAATTATTATAGACAGAGTGTTTCGGAAATTGTGGTACTGAGGAGGGGATGGTTCTACATAAAAAATAAGCTGAAAATGTAAAATAAATTTTTTCAAACGAGGCTTCGTTTTCGGATATTTTCAATAATTTATTAAGTAATAAAATTCATCGTGAATATCCTGTTTTATTGCATATTCTCGATTACCTAATACAATCAACACAAAATAGTATCAATCAAAAATAGTAGTAGACATAGTGTTCGGTTTAAAGTCAATGTTTTCAAAAGCCTCACATAAAAAAATTTTATCCTACTATTTCGACTTACCTTTTCATGTAAAATCACCTCTTCCTCGGTTGTATCACAATTTTTCTGAAACACCCTGTATATATCATAAGCAGCTGTTGAAATTGTTTTAAGAGAAAGACAAATAGAAACGACGAAGAATTGTAAAGCAACGAGCACATTGTCGCAGGTCAGATGTTTCTGATGAACCGTTTCTTCGACGGCGCCTTCTTGACCTTTGGCATCGACGTACTTAGATTCCTCGAATCCGATCAAGAAGACCGAGTGGACCCAATGATTTATGTCTTTCCACGAATGACCAAATGCACCTTTTACAAGTACGGCGTCAGCGGAGAAGTCGAGAGACATGACGCCGTCTGTATACTGCCTCTGAATGTCGTGAACGAGAAGATCTATGTCTTTCTGTGGTTCTGGTTCCTTTTCCTCGGCGTGCTCAGTTTCTTTACGGTTTTATATAGGGTCAGTAATCCCAGAAAAAGTACTCTTTTTGTATTTTATAAGTAATATCCGCGATATCAGAAACAATATACAATTTTTCTCCCTCAATCGATATTTCTTATTTAAATTTCCCAATTTAAGTGCAAATGTTTATGAGAAAATAATATTCATTTATTTTGCGATTATAAAATTGAAATCAATAGTAATCAACATGATAAGATAGGCTCTTTTTAAGCAATAAATTCTTTACATTTCTTTCTAAGATGTTTAATCAAACATCGATATAATTAAATTGCTTGTCAATTTAATTCGAGATATTATCCTAGTTCCAGTTTAAAATTAACGATTTCAAGATCAAACATTAAATGGGCAGTTTACAAAACGTGTTACTAGATGAGTTTTCACAAAACATGTCTACTAGATACGTATACATTAGATTCAAATTGAAATAATATTAAACATTTTAGTCTTATTCACATATTATATTTAATGTTATTTATTCTTATTTACTTATTTTTTTCTCGCAACATAATTTGCTATTTTCTCTGCAGATCCTAATAATATTTTCGCCGCGCACGAGGGTCTATCTGTTGCGAATGAGGTTTCGTTTGGTACGAAGGGACGCCGTAGAGACCATAGTGCGTCGCAGTAAGGTCGGTGATTGGTTTCTTCTCTACATGCTGGGCGAAAATTTGGACACCGTGATATACAGAGACGTGATGCACGAATTGGCGAACAAGCTCGCCTCGAGGCATCACCACGGCGTACCGGGAGTGAAGGGCGAGCTTCAAGAAGCCTGATCGAGGTGAGCGTATCCCCTTGTTCTCGTTCGTGCTCGCGTAGGTGTCCGTTGAATAACTTTGCTCTTTATGACACTGGCATTCAGAAACGTATTGAATTCTTAAGGGATCGTCGGCGTACATCCGCCGATCGCCTACGTGATATACTTGTACGCGCTGGATAGCATTTGTATATTATCTGAATCGTGACATTACATTGCGGTGATCGATGTTATACTCGTAAAAATGTTTATGCTTCATACAGAAAGTACAAGTACAGATGCACGTTCTTATCGAAGTACTTTTATAAAGATAAATATATGATTTTTTAAAGAGTTAGGAAATAAAGTGTACCTTTCACTGAGAGAAAGGTAATTTCGAATTTGTGACTATCATTGCATGGTAAAATATGGTTAGTAATTCCGTTTTTACAGTTGTTACTGGTATTAAATGTTAGTCATGTAATATTTATATTTATCTAGATATACGTACCAAAAAATACACATAGGTATTGGTAATCGCAAATTATGAATTTTTTCTGACACTTATCTTTGTTTATAAAAATTAATAACAGAAAATATTACACAGATTTTTTTTTTATATTTAAAAGAAGTAATAAGAAAAATCGTTCTCATGTATATTATATAATTTTTTAAAAAGGTTATAAAATTACACGCATTCTGAAAAATTCTCAAATTTTGTGAGATGACTGTTGTCAGCTGTTTCGTTAATATAATATAATTTTTTTCGTATACGCATTTAGTTGGCAAACTTTCATTTCGATTCATGGAACAATCCCAAATTTAGGAAACTAATTCTAAAATAAAACATAATTCAATAAAACTAGTTCTAATAAAAAAACATAATTCATGCTGTTCGCCAATACCATTGATATTTCTATTTCGAAACAAGTACGAGTTCCAAAGTGATTTCACTTTGAAAGAAGCGCACCATCGATAAATTGTTCAGCAACGTAACGGCAAATATATCGAACGATCTACTCTATGCGATCGCCTCGAAAGAAAACGATGCGCGTCAGGCACGTGCGCGCTTACGATTTCACCTGCCATAACTAAGCAGCCTAGAGAGACGCGCGTGTCCCGGCGCGATGTCCATAGATCAATTGACCGTGTCCGATGCAATCTATGCAATCGCTTCATGCGCACCATGAGTCGGATGATTATTGTTGCAGGTTGCCTCGGAGGGACGGTACGTTCGATTCGCCGCTGCCGCAGTCCTGCCCTCGCTCATCTGCATCGCGCGGTCGTCGTCGCGTCCGGGGACGACATGGGACGTGCGATCGCAGTCGGAGCCTCAGAAGACTAGCTGATGGATCTTCCTCGGGGATCCGCGGGTCTGGTCTCGCAAAGAGACGCGTTTTTCCCTTCCGCCGATTGTTGCTCGTCGAACTCGAGGCGATGCGACAGCGATAGTCGCGCGAAGTTGCGTTCGTGGAGATCACAATTTCTGGTGAGAAAGAGAGAGAAAGAGAGAGAGAGAGAGAGAGAGAGAGAGAGAGACGCGCTTTCGCTAGTCATCCTCAAGAATCTAACATAGTTTTGGCGAGTTCAACGATCTCGACGCTGCAAGCACAAACGAGAATATTTATATAGAGAACAGTAGGAATGTCAATTGTGTATTTTTGAATACTCCATGAAATTCAACCTTTTTTTTTTATCAACTTTACGCGTTATATCCGTTATATATTATTTTAAGATTTATGCGCATTCCAGTATGATATGAATATCAAAGTGTATAGACGATATCTTGCATCCGTAATTTTTATATTATTCTGATAGAGGGACAATCACGTTTCTTGTCATATTCCCGTGCGTGTTATCTCGTATTTCCACTTTCTCCTCTATTTGTAAACGTGAACGCGAAAGGTGTATTTGGGCATGTCTTGCAGCACAGGGGAACTGAACTCGTCGAAATTGCATACCGGTTCCAGTCCCCGGTCGCAGTCGGGTGGATTCAACCGGTGGCCCGTAAAACGAAAAGACAGAGACGCACGGCAGCGCGTGTGCAAGAGCGATGGAAAGGGCCAAAAATTACACCGGCGTTGCTGCACTTGGCAGGAGACTGGAGATGCGTCGTCCTTAGATAGCGACACGCGTTAAAAGACACTTGGGAGGAACGGCGGTGTGGAACGGATCGTCGAACGGATATCGCACCGACCGGTCATCGAGAGTAACGCCAGCCAGAGAGAGAGAGAGAGAGAGAGAGAGAGAGAGAGAGAGATCTTCGTGCCTTTCTATTTACCCCCGTGTCGCCAAAAGACAGGATCTCGAAAGAGTGCCAGACATCGAATGTATCGTCACACGGGATATCTTGTTTTTGCTAATCTTGGGGTTTCAAGAATGCCTTTAGAATCAACGAACTGAGAGGCAACGAGAATTGAGAAACAGGTTTTTCGTAAAAATTACAAGCTTTTCATAAGTTATATTTTTAGATGACAACTGTTTTAGAGAGTTCCTCGTTGTAAGGGATTGGATATTATTTATACACTTTTTCATCGCCTGCCATAAATTTAAGACGGTGTTTAAGATACAATGAGATGCAAAATAGAATAGCTGCGTTTCAGTAGAAAAAGTAGCGACTGTTGTAAGATTCTTTAACACGATTAGTATACATTTAGATGAGACTAGGGACAAAAATCAATCGTAATAAAGAATCTTGTAACAATTGCAATGTTGCTTTTTTGCTGAACGCAGCTAAATGAAATGTATGAATATCTATTTCATTCTATCGTAAATGTTTGATCCCGCCATATTTAGAACAGTGTTCAATTTCTTAGATCTTGGAGGATCTCCAAGTGATCCTATCGTTTTTCCTTATTGCCGCATTAAAGAATGCATTTCGAATCAGCAACCGAGGAATCGAGAAACAATGAGCTTCACGTGGAAGATAAAGTAATGAGGTTTTTATGAATTATTGTACATTCTTAAATGACAGCAAGTCCTATCGTTTATCTTCACGCGAAGGGATATCGCGAGGGGCAAAGTAAATCCCGTGCGCCGATATTTTCTTTGTAAATTAGTTCTAGACTATAAAGAGCGTCCGGAATGCTAAGTGGACGCTGCGTATAAATTGTTTCGAACTATTTAACTTTTATCGTGCCGTGTTTCGCAAGTATGAATAATAAGTAAGGGAGATACGAAAGAGGAGAGAGTTAATATCTCTCTCGTTTATAGATTATTGTATAGCCGTATTTTTTTTTTTTCGGACAATGTTACGACGATCTCTTTTGATGGACAGTTTAAATTTATATATATATATGCCTTTGAAGAAAGATTCTTCTACTCAATCCATTAATGCAAGAAGAACGTAAAATATGTAGGCTAGTCATTATACTCTACGTCTACGTAATAATATCGATCGCGAATTTATCTATTGATACGGACACACTGCCACCGATCGGGTACGATCGATTTTGCTGTATCTGTCTTCGTTCTATTTAAATGAAGATAGCGTCCAAAATAAAGGTGCGTTACCTTGAAACTTTAAGAGTTATTAATTTTGTGATATTGATTAACGATTCCGAAAATGCTATCACGTTTTTGTAAGTCTGTCATGTTATTTAATTTGCTTTGACGTCTACGGATTACAATATTTCTGTCGATAATAATGTCAAACACTATAAGAGTGAATATTTTAATAGTACATTACATCCACAAGCAACTTAAAAACGTTGATTATTCACATATAATCAATAAATGAAGATTTCTTCTGAAAACGAAGAAACGAAGCTTTTCATTTGGCTTACCAACTTACGTGCAGACATTTTATTTCTCATACCATATTTTTCAGACTTCTTTCATAATTATTTTTAATTGTTAAACATTAATCGCATTATTATGCTGAATAAAATATTTATCATTAGAATGAAAGGTGGTTGTTATCAATTGCATCACTTTAGATTAAAATGTATATTAATATACTATAAATGTTTGTAACAATAAATTACACCTTCGTCATTTTTTATATTCACATACGATTTGATATAAATTTCTATGATTAATTCGAAGCTTATTTTCCGAGAAACACAATTCACTAAAGCAACAATTAGCTTCTTATTTGTTTTAATAAATCTAAATAAAAATAATATTAATACAGTAACGCAAATTTACTAAAGTTGTCTAAACTCTTGATTGCTGTCACAAACAAGAGTTCATTCCAGGTAAGTGAAATTCGGAGGGAGGTGATTGTTGTTCTCCAAATAATTTATTTTCGTTAAACGCAGATGACGTTTAGACTTACGGTAACCGCGTTCGAGTACAAGACGCACGCGGGATAATAATTTCGGAATAACTTGGAATATATTCCAGCGCGTTGTACGTTCGAGTATTACGTGCGTCGTGTCCGTAACACTTCGGGATGCGTGTTGCCATATTCGGGAATGTGACGGCGAGAGAGGATCAACCGGTCCGTTGCCCTCCTCTGGCAAAGAGAGTTCGCCCTGGACATCGTGAAACTGCTCAGCCGCGGGCGATACCAGGCGATAAGTCTGGGCACGACTGTTGGACTTTTCGTCGAAAATTAGAAACCCTTCGTTTGTGTTTCCTTTCGACATCGCTCTCAAGTTCGAAACGCTTCGGTAACTCAATACATTCTCTCTGCGTACTTTTGCTTTTGCCTTTGTTAAAAAAATTGGAAATTATTTTACTTTCAAATATTTTTTTTTTTTTTCTTGACACACTGTAATAGAAATTGAAAAAATTTAGTAAATTTTAAAATAAAGAACTTGGGATTATAATTTTTTTCTTAAATCTTTATTGATTTTATTTTTCGAGAATTATATTAATAATATATTTACATACGTGGAAAAGAATTTGGTGGTGCATAAATTAAAAATCTGGTAGATTCAATCAGAGTGTCAAAAAATTGAGTGTCTTTAAACGAGATAAAAATTATAAAAATGAGCAAATTCGCGATATATTGATGAATAAATATTCTAGTGAATTTACTCACTTTTATAACTTTTACCTCATTTCCTGATACAATCGATCTCCAGAAAAATACAAATCAGAGTATTTCATAGTTAAATCTATCAAACATTCTAATTGAGATAAATTCAGTCACAACAAGTATAGAATTCTCATCAGTATCGGAATGCATGTTTATTTCTATTTCTCATTGATATATGCTTTTCTCAGTGTAATTATATCATTAATAGCAAGAAGAAATATTCGCAATATGCAAACTGTGTTAAATATCGAGATACTATATCGTTCTCTCTCAGTCAGATAAATTTCGAGTTTCTTTTAATTGGTCCAAGGACGTCGTATGTGAAAGTGAATGGTCATTGCGATTCGGGTTTTTAAGTGACAGTGCGTAACACAGCTACAACGTAACTTACATCAGAGTGACAAGTGATGCTGTAAAAGTAAACTGACGTTGTGGCGAAAAAAAGGCAGTGGTGCACAAACCAAAGAAATTCGACGAACGAGCCTGCGTGCATCGTCGTGACGAATAGTAAGTATAGTGATGGATCGTGAAAGTCACTTTACGGGATTTCTCGTGGGATTTGAAAGCGGCCGACAAATTATGACGGAGAGGGGGGGGGGAAATAACGATTTAGCGATCGTGCGTTATTCTCGCTCGCGATATACTTGACACCTCATCCATGTATAGTGCCGTAATGTTTGACGCCCGTTCTCGCGGGAGAACGTCTTTTTAAAGGGAACTGCAATCGAGTCACGCCGCATAATCGTTATGCAAGGATGATCGTGCGTATATTCTAGATGATACGTCGGTCCACAGCACGCGTTGGACAGAATTTACGCTCTTCGTTACGCAGAGTTGCCAGCGGCCTAGACGGTAAATTAATCCCCGCGCTGCGTTTTAGTATATATAGTATACGCGATGCGACACGTAGATTAACTAACTTGAGGAAAAGTTACGCACTCTTTATCGAAGACGATCCAGAAAAATTAATATCTCATTGGCATTCAGGTGAGAATCGATTAAGACACGGTGTGTATATAAATGGAAAATCTCTTTGTACAGTTGCAGGTTACAACTGTCGGTTGTAAGTTAGAAAGAACGCATATAAAAAGAATAGTTTGAGAAATATCTAAAAAGTGAGCTAAATATCGATTGAATTTTTGGATAAAAATAATTATGTAAGACGCTCAAGTCGGTTGCTAGAATTTTTGACGGAGACAAGTGAATCTCTCTCTCTCTCTCTCTCTCTCTCTCCAAAAGAGCGAAAATTCTATCGTTCTTTTAAAAAAATGATAGAATTTTCATTCTTTAAAAGAGATTTCACTCTTTTGAAATGGTTCACTCTAAAGAATTTCAAGAGAAGTGTCAAAATTATTTTCAGTATTGCTCATCGTGCTTGTATTACCTAAGTAATTGTTCGATTCAACAAAAATGATTTTCAGATCTGTATATATATATATACCTAAATTTTTATATATACGATATATCTACCTAAATTTTTAGATACTTTCACTATCAAAACCGTTCTTTCTGTACACACAATTTCGATTTTCAAATTAGGAAGTGAAAGCGATTTATTAACTAATGTGTACACTGGACACGCTCTTACAAACATTCTAACTACCGTTGTTGCGAATAAATAGCATTCGCTTTGTTACATTGTGG